TTCTTTGTGATTCTGTAGCGCCAGCCTACGTGATTCGAAGAAGGAGGATAAAAGGAACAAGCGATAATTTTAATGATTTATCGTTATTAATCCAAATCTGGTACGTGGCACTATTTTATCGAAGTCTGGTGACAGAAATCGTTACTCACTCAATTATCGTTGAAATATAGTGTAATGAATCTCAAACACAGCTGATCTTACAATTAATCGTTTGGTTATTGTGCCTGAGTCGCGTATAAATTAAACGACACGAATTGAATGAACGAACAAGTCAACTATACATTGTTGTCGTTTACGTTGGGTGATAATTAGGTATTCACTCACTCTCTCTCTCTCACACACACAAACACACACACACGCTGGAAGGAAAGGAATCGGGAAAAATGGAACATGAAAAATTAGAAAAAAGGGGAATATATAGAATAATTACGTCATAGAACGACTTGGTTTTTTATTTTTTCTCTTTAATTTCGTCTATTTCCCGTTTTTTTCCTTTCTTTTTTTAAAATAATTTTATTCCGTCCTTTATTGCCAATATTATTGACAGGATTAAAACTATTTTATTGTTGTTGATAATCTTCCTCTTTTCTTTTTTTTACTTATATTATGCAGATTTAGTTGTATTTAAACTGCTTGGATCAAGGCGTTTTATCTTGTTTAGGGATCGTATTATTCCTTCGTAGATACTTATTTACTGAAAATCTTTTTACAACTCTATTTCCCTTTTCTCGTAGTAAAAGTTTGAATGATTTAATTCTTGCCAATCGTTAATTTTGATTTTTGACGTATAATTTTTTTCAGCATTAAACGCTAACACCAGAATGCTGCATCTAATTTTCTGCTGTTGAATTAATAACAGTTAATAAAAGCTACAATTTTCTTTGCAACGAAATCCCTCTTTACTTATTAATTTCTGTACAATTTATTTTCTAGTAGCATTTTAAAAGTAAATTTATTCTTTTAGTTCCCACAAGTATTTAGTACTCTTCATGTGCAATGTTTATAACAGCGATAAAAACAGTCTTGAATGATTGAGTAAGAAGAAGAGAAAAACGTGAATGAATGAATGAATGAATGAAGACGGGAATAAATTAATGCGACGAAGGAAGGAATATACAGGAAGGAAGTGTAGTATATAAGATTTGGTTAACGAAAGCTTTTTGTGAGCACTTCGACGTAGAGTAATTGTTAGTAGGCTAGTCTGGTTGACCATTACTACTTAATAGGTGAGTTTGATCCTAAGTGGGTGTCTGTACTTTTTTTGTCTTTGTGCTAAATACGCTTAGACAACAACAAAAAAGAAAAAAGAAAATAAGAAAAAAAAAAGATAATTGAAAAGACGGAAAACTAAACACGAAACAGGAAGAAAACAAGAGGAAGCAGAGTGTGAAATACGAGAAAAATTAATTGAATAAAACTGAAGAAGCGATAAAGAAAAACAGATGAACTGTCGAGAGAAAAGAGCAGACACGCATGCGCACTTGTGCATTGACGGCTTTTACTTGAATAGAAACCAACTCATCGTTACACATCAGTAGAAAGAGGAAATACAAAGAGAGGGAGGCAGAAAGAGGTTAATACAAACACAGAGGGGCGTGAAGAAAGTGATATACAAATACACATCCTGAGGTGGTATAATAGTTAGCAAGCTTGTCTAGCTAGCATAATTACGAATGAGTAGGTAGTGAGTTCGATCTTCACTAGGTACCCCATACTTTCGGCCTTGTGCCACATCTAAGCTACGCTTGGAAAATCGCTACAATACACATAAGCTGAGAGAGAAAAACTGACAGACAGTGAGAGAGCGTAGAGAAAATATAGAATGGTTACTGTTATTTATCTATGTTAACTTAGGTTTTTTTTTGTACAACAATAAGGCAAGAGTAAATATCTGATATGGAGCATCCAGTGAGGACAGACTTCATTAACTGAAGAAAAAAAGACATCTTGCTCTAGCCATTATCCAATGACGAGATATTTTGGGTGATAGATGCACTTAGGAATTATGAGAAAGAAATTTTATTGTGGAACCGTCAAAAGAGCTTTGATTCTGGATATTAACCACACCTCTCTTCTTAGTGCCATTAGATTTCCCTGCGAAGCACGGAGCTACAAACTCACTACACTAGGTGTTGCTACCTTGGTTTCTGTAGCAAGTATGTTTTACCAAGCGAAGTTGTTAACCCCAGACAGGGCCGATACGTACAACTCACGACACCACCCCCCGCCGCCAACCGGGGTGGGAGGAGCTTGATGGGTGGTCCTGGACAGTGCTTTGTGACCCTTGCTATCTTATCAACATTTGTTTTTTTGTTTTTTTTTTTTTTTTTTTTACCTACATTTACACACGTTACAAATTAAATTAAGCAGAACTGACTTTTAAAGGATGAAAAATTTTCGCAGATTTTGACGTCATTCTGGTTTCTTTTTTGTCGTGAATTTGTTTTGCTCATGCTAAGTTTTGAAAAAAAAAAACTATATAAAATTAGTATATTTTTACCCATAATGTTGAATGTGTTAAATTTCTTCAAATTTTTAACAAGAAAAATCTCAGTTAACGTTAAAAATTACCGCAAACGTTTATTTAATGTGATATTATGACATGTCTCTAATTTTATTAAGATACATTGCATTTTCAATTTTTCTAGTTGAATTGTTCACCGATTTTGTATATGATTCATTTATGTACATAATTAGGTTACAATAAAATTTGTATATGAATACTTCCTTAATTGAGATGCAGGAAAGTGGGGGTACTTTATCATAAATTCGGGGCCCCCATATCATAGATTCCATGGGAGACAACGAGACTCTTGCAGCGGTCCTGGCACCAGGGGCAACTGGTTTTAAACTCAGTGTTGTTTTTCTACTAGACTGGTTTTCCACCAAAACTAGTGAGGCCACTATACCCTGTTTGGCGAAGGAGATGAATTCATACCCTTTGTCAAGGAGGAAAATGACCCCTTTAAAATGCTGACCTAGGCTACCTAATATCTGTATATTTATACAACACATTCAGAGCAATAATAATAATAATAATAATAAAAAGATTCATTATTGGCGACCACAATCTTAACAACATAAGATATGCAGATGACACAGTGTTGATAGCAGACACGGAAAGGAAACTACAAAACCTTCTACAGAAGATAGCGAAGGAAAGCGAAAAGAAAAGACTAAGCAGAAACTTCAAGAAGACAGGTTATCAGCCAAAGGGTGAACCCAAAATGTAAATTACAGGGCGGGGATACTAACATGAAGCAGGCACAGAAATTTAAATATCTGGGAAATGTTCTAACAGAGGTCAGAAAGTGCGACACTGGGATCCAAAGACGTATTGGGATGGCGAAAATGCCTTCCAAAAGCTAAGCAAAGTATTAAGAAACTGAAAAAAAATCGTTGGAAAAAGAAAAGAGTACTAAACTGTTACGTGATATCTGTCCTCCTGTATGAAACCAAATGCTGGACAATCTACTCAAAGATGAAAAAGAGACTTGAAGCAGCAGAAATGTTGTTCTACAGAAAGATGCTGGGTATACTATGGACCAAAAATGTGAGCAACGACGAGATTTTAGAGAAAATGGAAACGGAAAGGAATCTTATACTTAACACCAGGAAGAGTCAGTTGAAATATCTGGAGTAATGAGGAAAGAGGGCTTGGAAAATCTGATACTCACGGGACAGATAGAGGGAAAGAGGGACAGATACTTGATGGGTTTGAGCAAACGGATGACAGAATAGAGGTTGGGAGAAATAACAAAATGACAAAACTTATTAAGAGCTACAAGGGACAGGAAGATGTGGAGGGCCATGATCGCCTACATCCTGAAGGGACACGGCACATAAAAGAAAGAAGATCCCACATTCCGCTTCACTAACAACTACGCAACGTACACATCCATCGGTATCCCTATTTAATTACAAGGCTTTCCAAAGAGTCACAAACTTAACATCTCTCTACCTTGCCCTAACAAGACAATTAGAAAAAACGAGAAAAAATATATATATATATATATATATATATATATATATATACATATATATATATATATATAGAGAGAGAGAGAGAGGGCGATGCTGTATTAATAACTTTTGGTACAATAAAGTAACAAATATTTTTTTTAATTCTTAGACGAAACATCCCAATATGAAGAATGCGAATTCAGGCCTCATCGAAAGGCTGTTTTATTTTCTATTTTCCGCTTTTTGCTCGAGCGGTCGAAGAGTTTATCAGCCCAGAATGTTATGAGAAAAATCAACAACAATAAGAGTAAAGCTAATAATGAAAAAAATGCAAAAAGAAGAGAATTCTATATAGTTATTAATCCATATGGGGGATTAAGGGCATTATTTGTATTGGACAAATACATGTATTAGATTAGAAACTTATTTTTTTGCTTAATGTGCTTAGCACTATGTTGTATAAATATAACGAGAATATATCCGCATTTTAAAGGGGCCATTTCCACTTTCTCTCAATAGAATTTCTTTTATTTACCTTTTGCTAGACCGTTCTTAGCATTTTGTTGTCTATGGATGGCGGTTTTTCAACAAACTCATTTACACAGAGCAAAAATAAAGATATATAGTTGAGCAATTTCTAAATCTATATCAATAAGTATTGGTGTGTGTACATATACACCATTTATATAAGCGTGTGGGCATGAAAATAGATATATGATTGTATATCTCTCACTTAAAAGCACACCCACCCACACGCACAAATAAAGAGAAAGAGAGAGTTCACATAGATAGAGAGATAGATAAAGTAATAGATGGAAATAGACGTGTATAAAACCATACTGTAATTATTCATGTATAATACGCAATATTTTCCAGACGGGAATTAAATAGTAAGTATTTTTCAAACATGCGTCCTCATATTCGAAATGATATAATTGAAAGTAAGTTACAACTGTAGTTCAAACTGACTAATGTATAGAAAAAGTATTGAAATCACTAACCAAATACTGAATGTTTTAAGCTTACGGATACATCACGTTGAAATACCGGTTCCCGTACCATCACCGAAGTTAAGCTACGTCGAACCTGGTCAGTAATTAGATGGATAACTATTTGGGAATACAAGTTGCTGTAAGACGCGCCGTCGCCTGTCTCTGTCTGTTCTACAAATACTTTCATGGTAATTGCTCCGAGGAGCTGCATTCACTGGTTCCCAGACTTCATGAATTCAAGCGCCCTACGAGGCTGGCATCCCGATCTCACCCTTTCACTGTCGAAACTACTAAATGTAGCCGTCTCTTCTACTCCAATAGCTTCATGTCTCGCACCTCTCGACTGTGGAACTCCCTTTCCTATTCCAGTTTCCCTGAGAGCTATAATCTCCAACTATTCAAATGTAATGTCAATCGTCATCTCCAGTTGCCTTGATCTATCCACTATCCATCTCCTCATCCTTTCCTCCATCACTCCTATCTGATCTTGCTCCAAATCTTCTGTAACCCCTTGCGTCCTAGTGGTTTCTCGCCATGCTTGGGGGTGAAACGCTTAAAAAAAAAAGCATTGGTATGTGGGTGGTATAAAAGTTAACAGTTCAGAATTGTTACTCAGAGAGCCGAGTTGCAATTCCTGTTCGGGATGTTATATCCACTTTTGCGCAAATACCCTTTGGAAAGGCATGAATCCACCTCTTCTCTTCCCAGCTATGGGTTAATTAGTATGATTTGTATCACTAAACCATTATTATCAAAAAAAAAAAAAGAAAATTCTTACAATCTAAAAATATTTTCTGGCTTTAAATAATCTGCAAAGGGTCGATAAGCCGTAGAAAACGAAACAATCAATCCGTATTTTTTTTTTAATATTAACGTCGACATTTCATTTTGTTTCATTTCTGTTCGTGACAAAGGCAGGCGCCATGACAGTTTCTTCTATGTTGTATGTGTTTTCGTTATCTTCCATGTCGTCGTCGTCATCGTCCACAGAGTGATCTTGTCCTTCTTCCTTAAAAAAGATTTCATCTTCACTGTTGTCCGGTATTTTTTTTCGAATGACATTGTCAAAATATAGTTGTAGCAATGTCTACTTCTGTTTTACGCCGCTACAGAAAAGTAGCTACAATCCACTGGAATAAAATTATCCAAAATTTAACTAAAAAAGAAGAGAAATGCAGTTACGAGAAGATTTTCACTAGAGTAACGAAAAGGTTCATTGTTTTGAAGGTCTGGTGATCCGATCAAAAACTAAAAGATCCCAATCGAAACTCTCTGAAGTTTAACCAATATGAATCATTCACATTCATCAACAGCGCTAAAAAAAAGGCTAGAGGCGCCGAAGATCCATAACTTTATTTTTAAACTGAGAAATAAACAAAAAAACTAACTTCTTGGCCTCAATCTATAACAATGCTACTGCCATTAAATGTTTTAAAATAATTCAGAAAATATAATCTTTCTTTTTTTTTCTTTTTTTTTTCTTCTTCGAAACATTAGCTTCAAAACTTTGACATGCCGGTATTTGCCGGCGTCAAAGACAGTTTTTTTTTTTTTTTTTTACCTAAAACAAGTCAATGCGGAGGTTAAGGTTTTTGTAGGCCTATGTTAACCCAGAGGAAGGTTATCTGTGCCAGACGGTAAACTGAAATCCTCTATGTTATGCAAATTTTCGAAATTGTTTCAGGAGAGAAAAACTGCGTCTTTGACGCCGGCAAATACGGTAAGTTTTAAATGTGGAAAAAGTATATCGGGGTTATTCCAGAAAATAAGTACAAGCGAAAAAAAAAAAATTGGTACGCATAACCACATATTGAAACATGTATGAAACTACAGAGGGTTACTATTAAACATGTATGAAACTACAGAGGGTTACTATTAAACATGTATGAAAATACAGAGGGTTACTATTAAAATGGTTATAATGAAGGAGATGTGATATGAGTGCGGTAGGATTTGAAGATTGTGAGAACAGATAATGATTGAACCATGACCTGAAGTTGTTAACATTGTAGCGTTTAGGGAAGCATCCATGTTTGAATTCTTTCCACAAAGTGACAGTTCTTGAGAAAAGAACTGCCTGAGCTGAACTTTCTCTTTACTTTTGGAATACAGAGAAAATGAGTCTGATCGAACAAGTAGAATGGCACGACCTAACCGTAAAGATGTGAACTGGTGGAAGTGAAGAATGGTTCTAATCTGAACATTTGTCATGGAAATAGCGATAGAGTATCGTTAAGTTCATAACGTTGTGCCCGTGGAAAAGAGATTATAGAGCGGAAGACTCCCCCCGAAAGACCACGCTTTTAATTTGAATTCTGTTAAGGCTGGAAATTAAGGCCGAGTATGGCAGCAATGTTCCATTTGTTTTCTAATCTGACTCTTGTAAAGATAAAGCATGCCAGGAGGAGTCATGTACTTTCTGGGACAGAAGAACCAGCCGACCATTTATCTTTAGCAATGGATTGTATATATGAGTTTCACTTGAGGTCTGGCGTGAACTTGAGACTCATGCAGATAAAATGATCGGCTCCCTGTACTGGCACCTGACTCCTCATGCTGCCCTCTACCTTTCCAGATCAGGGCCGAAAATTGAGTACTGTTGCTATATTTAGACGAGAACTGCCCAGTCCTCACTTTCAAAAGTGTCTCCGAGTCCTTGTTGGAGAAGATTTATTTTCCACTCTCCAACCTCTCTCTCTCTCACACACACACACACACACACACACACACACACACACACACACACAGAGGCGGGTGTGTTGAGTCTCTAACTGATCTATCGCTCCTTCCATGGAAAGTGCTCAGACGAACTACATTCCTTGGTTCCGCCGGGTCTACTCTTCACGGGTAGGACCCTTCATGCCATTTACATAGTAGCAAATCACCCACAACCCTTCCGTATTCCATCGGCGAGAAATAAGTTTCAATCAAACAGCTTCTTCCCGAGAACCACCGCCCTGTAGAACAAACTCCCAAGTGGATGCTTACCCGATCACTACAATCTTAACCTGTTCTAGTCTAGAGTTAACCATTATCTTCTTCTTCTATCCATATAAACTACGACTTAACGTATCCCTCTATCTCGAGTGGCTCCTGGGCCTAGTAGAGAGTGAACATTACTGTAAAAAAAAACAAAAAAACAGATAGACGTTTAAAGCATGGAACATCATTGACAGTGAAACCATTCATGAATGGAAGAAACTCAGCATATAATTGGTGAATGAATGTTGGACAATGGAATTACTTCTTTTTTTTTTTAAATCCATTATGTGAGAGAGAATTCCGCTTGTGAAAAAGGTTAAATGGAAGTAACAGACAACAGAAATCGAACTCTCCACCATAAGATTGCTAAGCCAAAGTTATGACCATTGTGCAACAAAGAACGTTCAACTGAGTTCCTTTAAAAAAAAATGGTCCCGAGGGTTCAAACAAACGAAAAACAGCACTCCGTACATTGTAAATGCTTTCTCCATTCTCATCTTCTTTGATGTAGGTGGAACTGCGGGTGGATTTTCATATATGTGTATGTGTATGCGTGTGTGTGTGTGTGTGTGTGTGCATCCCACCTGAACTCAAGTAAGATAAGCGGATCAAGCATAAACGAATTCTAATATCATGATTGCATCGCGAGGATAAGATTAAGAATACAAAGAAAATGGATGCAGTGTGTCTATTTCATTCATGCATGAGCAGGCATCTTCTTTGTTGGGAAGGCACGCAAATTCGTCCGAGCAAGAAGCTGGGAAAAGATATACCTTTACCAGTTATGTCGTGCGATATATAATAATAATATAATCCGAGTATGCCTCTCTACTAGGGCGGCTAGGCAATCCCTGTTGCAGACGCATGCTCAGGCACATTTGTGTTTGTTCAACACGCACAGGGCCCACGTGTGGTTTATACTGCAATTATGCTGAGCGGATCTTAATCACAGTTTCTGGGAGAGAGCGCATTATCTGGCGTGATCAACAGCCTGAAGAAGGCCCGTACGCAGAAACCCTCGGTCACGATGATTTCACAAGGTTTGGGTCAAACTGTGGTATGGTTTTCATGTACTTTCTAAAGGTGCCACTCGCTGGGATCGCCTTCCCGGCCGATAACATCAAAAAGTCACATTCCTGACAAATTGACTAATGTGATATTCGAACTCGGGTCTCATGGTCGGAAAGCGAACATTCTAATCATTGGTATATATATATATATATATATATATATATACTAGCAGCATGGCCCGGCGTTGCCCGTGCTTGATTCAAAAATCGTACGACTCATACAGCAATCGCTATCACTTGACATAAAATATTTTTGCCCTTCCTTGCCTTTAAAGGCCTGCCTTTTGCCGTGTTGATGTTGATACATGCCTTACTTCTTGCCTATCTCACACTGCGAATTTTTTCTAAGCTCTATACTAAACATTAAATCTGTTACGAAAAAAGAACTAAACAAAATGAACACAAAACGATCAGCTTTAAAGAAAGGACTCGTAACTGGAAAAACCGAATGAAAAAAGAATGTTAACAACAAATACTTTTTCACACCCAACCCAGTTCTGCGGAATCAGAATCAACGTTGAGTTTAAGCAAGCGAATGAGCCAATTGGAGTAAAGTGCCATGCAGATTTAAATTTTTCCCACTTGTGACGAATGCAGCTATCGATTTTTTTTTGCATGCTAGCATGTGCATGTAAATTTTGGTGTAAATCCGTCGAAGTTTTTCGTTACACACACACACACACACACACACATCCTGCCTTTTATATATATATATATATATATATATATATATATATATATATATATATATGTGTGTGTGTGTGTGTGTGTGTGTGTGTGTTTACTTGATTACGAGTGACACTTTCCTTGTTGGCTGCCGGATCATATAATTTAATAATTGTGCATGTGGGAAGCTGTTTCACTTTTATACAAGTTTCCTTAAAAACTACTGACACTTTCCTTTTTAACGAAACTTGTAAAAACTTGTAAAAAGAAAACTGCCCAAATACACAATTACATATGTATTAATAATATTTTTATTTGAAGAATATTTACATCGCTACACAAAAGCTATCATGTTTCGGAACTAAAAATTATCATGAGTTACCAAACATCGCCTGATGAAATGGAACAATTTTCAGTTCAAATAA